CATAGCGAGTCTGAGGTCAACATGAGCTACAAGAGACACTGTTTGCAAGGATGACCTGAACTTCCAACCTGTCTTCCTTTCCCTTTAAAATACAAGGTATGTGTTACCATGTCACATTTTATATGCTGTTGGGATTGGAACCCAAAGCTTTACGAATGCTAAGCAAGCACTCTTCCAAGTGAGTTACAACCACAGCCCTTCCTTTAAAATTTAAAGTAAAAATATGTGGCATGATGACATCATACCTAGTCACATCATCCTTAGTCACCTGCCTTCTGGGTGCTTTTCTGGGCCATGTTCTGCTGGTATCCAGTGGGTACTGGCTAGGGAGGTCATTAAATACCTTTGTAGGAATAAATCTTGAAACAGAAAACTGTGCAGGTCAGTCCTGCCAGTGGAGGGGGTGAATTTTTTATTTTAGTTAGTTTGTACTAAAATTTAAATTGCTCCCTGTGATTAGGGTTGCCTGTTGGATGGGACAGGTGTTTTTTTTTTGTTTGTTTGTTTGTTTTTTTCTCCTGCCGCACCACCGGGACAGGTGTTTTTAATTGATCTCCATAATGTGGTTGGTTCTCAGGCCAGCAGCTTTGTCATGACCCAGGCGTGTGTTAGAAATGCTGAATCAGCTTAAATGTGGTGGTTCATTCCTGGTAATCCCAGTACTTAGGAGACCAAAGCAGGAGAATTGCTGCAAGTTCAAGGCTAAGCTGGCCTGTGTAGTAAGGTGCAGGCCAGCCTGGGCTACAGAGGGAGACCCTTTAAACAAAACAAAACTAAGCTGGACATGGTATTGCACACCATGGATCCCAGCACGCAGAAGACAGAGACAGGCTGATCTCTGTGAGTTCAAGGCCAACCTGGTCTACATAGTGAGATCTAGGCCATTTGGAGTTACATGGTGAAACCTTGTCTCAAAAATATAAAAGCAAAAACAAGAAACAAAAACCCCCAGCAAAACCCAACTTAAGGTCCACAGGTGATTGTGCACACCAAGTCTAGGAAGTCATGGTGCTTGGGTGAGCCTTGGGTCATGTAGAGAGTCAAACCTGCCACCTTCATCTATCTTCAGTGATTCTGATTTAATTGGTATTAGCTGTGGCTCAATTATTGGGTTTTAAATATATATTCCTCAAAGTAATTCTTTTTTTTTAAAGATTTATTTATTTATTATGTATACAGTGTTCTCTATGCATGAATCCTTACAGGCCAGAAGAGGGTGCCAGATCTCATTATGGATGGTTGTGAGCCATCATGTGGTTGCTGGGAATTGAACTCAGGACCTCTGGAAGAGCAACCAGTGCTCTTAACCTATGAGCCATCTCTCCAGCCTCCCTCCCAAAGTAATTCTAATTGTGCTGCAAAGATGAATGGTGCTCAGTGTCTCTGGATACCAAGTCACCTGGTGTCTGGTAAGACCAGGTCTTGATTGTTCGGCTGATTCCGGTGCACGTGGTTGGATTTGACAATCCTTTGTGTACAAGAAAATCCTTTGTAAACTGGGATTCAAAGGGATTCAGAGCCCCTCCTAAACAGCCCTGACCTGCACCTGTATCTGAAACCCATCTCTGTGGCATACCTGAAGGGATGCTTTGGTTGAGTACTTGTCATTGTCACTCTGGATGTTTGCACAGAGCTTCCTAGTTGCCAGTTTTTATTAGCTGATGAAGTTTTGGTCTTTAAGTGTTTCTCCCCTTTCTGAGAGGTCACAGTGTCATTAACATTCTGGTTTTTAAAGTTGCTAGGAAGTCTGCTAATGACAAGCTGTCACTTCAGTCAGTTTGCCTGTTCCTGAAGGTGCAAAGTGGAAAGCCTCAGGGTCAGAATGTTCTGAAGTATGGAAGGGAGAGGCACAGGGGAGCCCCACCCACCTCCAGCTTCCTCACTCAACCTCATGGCAGTCAGCTGAGGGAGGTTGGCATAGAGCCATGACAGCAAGGTGTCTGGAACATTCAGATCTCCACCCATTCTGGACTACAGGCTACTGTGTCAGGAGTGTTACATTCCATTACAGTATTCTATCTTAGGAGCCGAGAAGAAATGGATACCATTAGTATATTTTTTTGTCTTGTTTTTGAAGGTCTCTTACTCTGTAGCTCAGGCTAGACTGAACTTTCTATACAGTTCAGGCTGACCTCAAACTGCAGCTCAGTATACAGGCACATGTGTAATTCCAGCACTTGGAAGGAGGAGACAGGATTCTGAGCTCAGAGCTAGACCTGGCTGCATAGTGATACCCTGTCTCAAAAGACCAAAGGAAAAGAGAAGGTGTTGTGTGATGCTGGGATTGAACTCAGGACCTTGTGCATATGCTGTCACCAAGCAGCATGTATTTCTAGCTGCAGGCGGTTGCATTTTTTGTTTTTAGATTCATTTTTATTTAACATGTATGAGCGTTTTGCTTACATGTATGTCTGTGCACCATGTATCTGCCTGGTTCCCACAGAGGCCAGAAGAGAACATTAGATCCCTCGGAACTGGAGTTACAGACAGTTGTGAGCTGCTGTGTGGTTGCTGGGGATTGAACCCAGGCTCCCTGCAAGAGCAATAAGTACCTTTAACCACCGAGCCATCTCTCCTGCCCACCTGCTGAGTTTTATATGAGTTAAATCCTTTTGTGTGCAGAGAGCTTCCAGTTGGCAGCTTGTCTCTGTTAGGAATTGTTATTAACTGTTTATTTCTGGATAGTCTGGAAGAATTGACCATGGATTGAGAAATCTATAAAGAGCAAACTAAACTTATGAAAAAATTCTTTAAAATGTGCTCTAGATTTTCTTCCTTCTCTGATGATAAACTCTAGTTTCAATCCTTGTGTTGCCCTACAATAAAACTTTAGATATAAAGAGAAGTGAATGAGTATTAGCTTATGAAGACAAAAAATGGCCAGTCCAGTATCATTTTCTGTTGCTGTACTCGTCTACATAATGGAAAGCCTGAAGTCAGAAATAGCTGTGTATGATGGCTCACACCTGTAATCATAGCACATGGGCGACCATAGCAGACAGATTGCTAAGTTCATGGCCACACTGAGCTATAGAGAGATCCTGCCTCATAAACAATTAGTTGATTGATTGATTAATGAAAAGAGCGGGCCTGGTGATGAAATTCAGTTGTCGGATTATTGTCTAGTATACATGAGGGCACAGGCTTTGACCCCAGCGCCTTATAAACCACATCTGTGATCTGAGCCCTGAGGAGGTGGAAGCAGGGGAATCAGCTCAAGGTCAGTCCCCGCTGCATAGCAGGATCGAAGCCAGCCTGGTATGCATGGGACTCTGGCTCAGAAAGAAAGATCATGTGCTATGGGGATGGAGTAATGGACATGCGCCTTTGTGGGAATTAGCCTTTTCATCTCGCTGGCAGCAGAGAAGAAGCAATGATGAGGTGATGGGTTTAAGATTGCATATATGCACATGTTTATATATGTGTGCAAGTCATAAAACTAGAAAGGTCCCGAGACAGAAGGAAGAGAGCTTAAGGGAAAGGAGAAAGATAATGATGGGCATGTGATGTAATAGCAGAAGGGTGTAGCTGGGCAAAGGGAGGAGACCAGGCAGCAGGGAGGATGATGGGGAGGAGGGATTAGAATAAAGTCTGATGATGCGCATGCTACAAATGCCATAGCAACACCCATCATGTTGTGGGCTAACTTTAAAGAAATTAATTTACAAGAGATTTTATTTAACCACCTCTGTGTTGGAACATATTCTTTGGGACAAACAGAAACCATGTTCCTGGGCCCTGGTCACTCATATTTGACTAAGAGTAAACTATTTCTCATTTTAAAAAAGAAAAAAAAAAGAAAAAGAAGGGAGGAAGTAAATAGTAAATGGTATAAAGCAGTCCAGAAAGAAGACCTTGGCCACTAGAAAGCCGTGCTTGCCAGGAGGTCTCTTGGGTGGAGGTCTTCCTAACAGGAAGGCTATGATCTGAGAGTTGTAGGGGAGAGAGGCTGTACTGGGGCCTTCCTAACTGATCCCTTCCTGTAAACTGTAGAGAACCCTGAGCAAGTAAAGGTTCTCTTGATTTTACCTAAAACAAAAATGTAACTGATGCCCAGGAACTGGTGTCCTTCATGGGAAAACTGGAGCCTCTGATGTTTAGCATGAAAAATTCACAGGCTTAGATGCCTTCCTTTGACATGAGTCAGTGGTGCCTGTCTTAGTTACCTTTGCATCGCAATGATAAAATGCCCGGACAAATGCTCTTTCTGCTGTCCTTCCATGCCACTCTAATGGTACTCATGAATGTCCCGGCTGCTGCTCTTAAAAGCATCAACAATGCCAAAGAGAGGGGCAAATGCCAGGTCCTTCTCAGGCTGTGCGCCACAGTCATTGCCTGGCTCCTAAGTGTGATGATGAAGCATCGTTACTTTGGCAACTTTGAAATCACCACTGACCGCAGAGCTGGGAAAACCTCTGTAACCTCACAAGGAGGTTGCAGTGTGGGGCGATCAGCCCAGATTTGATGTGCAGCTCAAAGACCTAGAAAAATTGCAGAACATTCTCATGAGTTTGGTTTCATTGTGCTGACAACCTCAGTTGGCATCATGGGCCATGAAGAAGCAAGACAAAAGCACAGGAGTGGGGGCTGGAGAGGCGGCTCAGAGGTTAAGAGCACTGGCTGCTCTTCCGGAGGACCTGGGTTAATCCCCAGCAACCACATGGTGGCTCACAACCTCCTGTAATGAGATCTGGTGCCCTCTCTTGGCCTGCAGGTATACTTGCAGGTAGAACACTATGCTTAATAAATAAATAAAAAAAATGAGACTCTTTCCCAGGTCTGTGAAGACTTCCTCCCAGCCTCACGCTGGAACAAGACAGATGCTTAAGTAAAAGACCGAGGAGTGTGCAGAAAACCACACTAGCTGGGTAAAAAGTTAAGTCTTTTTGGCCCTTTGAAGGTAGGGGACTGATTGGAAAAGGTCGAACTCTCTCAAAGGAATTTGATGTTTGGAGATTAACACTGTCTAACTTTGTCTTTCTTCTTGGCCATGTACCTAGCGTGTGCCAGTTCCTGGAGCTGTGTCAAAGTCCAGACGGTGGCTTTGGAGGGGGCCCTGGGCAGTACCCACACCTCGCACCCACATATGCAGCTGTCAATGCGCTGTGCATCATTGGCACGGAGGAAGCCTACAACGTCATTAACAGGTAAAGCTGCAGGCAGCAGTGGAGGAGACTCAGGAGGGCTCCCCCTACTGCATTGCACTGACCATTGGTCGCCTTTTTCTGCCCTCTCCCCCTGTTCTCAGACAGAAGCTTCTTCAGTACTTATACTCCTTGAAGCAACCCGACGGCTCTTTTCTCATGCATGTTGGAGGCGAGGTGGATGTGAGGTGAGTGGGACAGGTGTATCCATGGCTTCTAGAATGTACCTACTTAGAGCAGCTCAGCCTAAGAAACATGGCAAGCCGCTGCTTTGTGCCATAAGACTGATGTGTAAACATTGTGCCCTTGGCACAGTGTCATGGTCATTGCTAATATGGTACTAAAGTCCTCCAGTGTCATTATCTCTTAGCTTCTTTTATGTAAATATCAAAATATGAATTGGGGGATCAAGTGCTTTAGATTTCAATACAAAATATATATGTTTGCTGTAAAATAGTTTAATGTGAGTAATTACACAGTATAATATAATCTGTCACCTCTCTTGGAGAAGCAAGCCTAGAGTTGACTCTATGAACACTTTCTGGTTGCATTTGATGAAATCCTGAGGGTGCTGAATACCCAAGGCACACGCGAGTTCCTCTGTGGGGTGCAGAGTGTCTTGTGGGACAGTAGACTGCAGTGTAGTAGATTTCAACCAACTGGTTGGTACCCATTGGCTCAAACCTATTATTTTACTCAAAAAGTGTATCTGGTCAGGTATGGTAGTCTGTGATCATGATCTCAGCTCTTGGGAGGTGGAGGCAGGAGGATCAGGAGTTCAAGGTTATCCTTGGCCACATCATGAGTTCAAGGCTAACTTAGGCTACATGATCCTGTCTGAATTAAAAGGAAGAAAAGTGAAAAAAATAAATATATTTATTACACTAGCAAGTAGCTTCCTGACTGATGGGCAATCAACCTATGAGGCAGGTAAAGCTTATGAAATAAGCAATTTCTCTCTTTTTTATTATTTCTTTATTTGCATTGGTGTTTTGCCTGCATGTATGTCTGTGTGAGGGTGTCAGATCTTGGAGTTACAGAGAGTTGTTAGCTGCTATGTGGGTGCTGGGAATTGAACCCAGGTCCTCTGGAAGAGCAGTCAGTGCTCTTAACCACTGAGCCATCTCTCTAGTCCCAAGTACTTTCTCAAATGCTGTGGATCATTGAGATTGTATAACATTTAGTCTGAGAGAAATACATTTTGGGGAGGAGGTGAAGCTTTTATATCAGAATGATAGAAAGAAATATCTTTCTTTTGTTTCTATGTGTGTTTTGTTTTGTGCCAGGGTCTCACTGTATAACCCTGGCTAGCCTGGAACTTGTTTTATAGACCAGGCTAGCCTTGAACTCATAGAGACCTGCCTGCCTCCCCCAGTTTCCGGCCTCATAGTGGATTCTTGAGCATGTTCTTCACAGTAGTGTGCTAGCTGTGTAGCTTTTGGCATGACTGTTCAACTTTTGGCATGGTTATCATGGTGTCTTCAGAAAAGCCAACCAGGAACCGGCGAGATGGCTCACAGGTAAAGGCACTTACCTCACAAGGTTGAGGACCTAAGTTTGATTCTGATAGAAGGAGTGAACAGACCACACAGAGTTGCCCTCTGACCTCCACACATGTGCTATAGTAGGCACATATCCCACCTGAGCTTTAAACACATGATGCCAATGTTTACTAGACAGGCACTTTAACCAGCTAAGCTATGGCGCCCACACAATGATAATTTTTAAACCATTCTAAAGAAAGCAGGCCAGCCAGATAGGCCTTCTTTGGGTCCTACAAAGCACCAGCCACTGAGCTCTGGAAACACAGGTCTGTTCTGAAGCCCTGAGCAGTTTGTGCACCAGGACCTGAGAGGAGTGCTTGAGGATGAGTTCAGCAGGTTTCTGATATCATCTGATCTCATCAAGTGACATAGTACCAGGCTGTGATGATGAGGCCTCGTCACCCCTCCAGGAGAGGGCACGCTCTTTTGAGTGGCTTTTGCTGTCAGTTGTTTCCTGTCAGTCCGCTTTGTCTGAACCAGGCATGGAGACTTCCTTACTTGCCTTGATGTGAGGCCAGAGCTTAGCTAGAGACCACTGCTGTTGGAGAGTACTGACAGCTTGCAAGGCAATCTAGTTTTTAATGATTAATTGAGCTGGATGTGGTGACTCTCAGGAGGCAGAGGCCAGTCTGGTCTACAGAGTGAGTTCTAGGACAGCCAGAGCTACACAGAGAAACCCTGTCTTGAAAAACCCAAAATAAAATAATAAATAAATAAAAATAATAAATTGAAATTGGCCATGGTAGAACACACAGAATATCCAGTATTCAAGGGGCCGAGGCAGGAGGATAATGAGTTCAAGGTCTGCCTGGCCTACATAGAGAAAACCTGTCTCAAAACAACCGGGTGTGATGGCACATGCGTTTAGTCCCAGCTCTCTAGAGGCAGAGGCAGGCAGATCTTTTTCTGTGTTCTTATTCACATTTGCTAGACAAATGCAGGGCAACTTCTCCTGTCAATTTGATGTGTTCCATTAAGGAGCACCTGTCCATAATCCTCCCATACTATGTGGTTCTGGGACTGATCTGCTCCTGAGCCCACAGTTGTCATTTGTACAGTGGGTAAAATATCTGAATGACAGATCAGACCTGTAGGCATCCTCCAGTTTCCTTGTCTTGCCTGGCTTCTTCTTTTTTTTTTTTGGTTTTTCGAGACAGGGTTTCTCTGTATTGTTTTGGAGACTGTCCTGGAATTTGCTCGGTAGACCAGGCTGGTCTCAAACTCACAGAGATCCGCCTGCCTCTGCCTCCCAAGTGCTGGGATTAAAGGTGTGCGCCACCAACGCCCGGTTGCCTGGCTTCTAGAACATTAATTCCCTAGTTTTTCACTCCATCTTGTTTTTGGTTTTCCTTTGCCTAGAAACACCAGCCAATGCTCAGAAGAGAAAATTGGAAACTGAGGACAGTTTATCACCTGGGGAACAGTTTACTCTAGTCCCTGGTTAGACAGAGATGGTCTCTTGATCTTTGGGGTCTAGAACAACTTTTGGTAGTTTCTGAGAATGCCTTATTCAAGTGTGGCTAGCTTCTGGGTACCTCAGAAACTTCTGAAGGAGCCACTACTAGCTGGGCCTTGCCTGTAATCCCAGACTCCTACTCAGGAGATTGAGTAGAACTGCAAATTAAAGGCTAGGCTGGCAACTTTGAAACCCTATCTCAAAATAAAAAGATTAACATGCAGCCCTAACTTAGAGCATTTACCTAATATATGTGTGTGTGTCTTTGGGTTTCCATGGCTGTGAAGAGACATTGTGACCACAGCAACTCTTGTAAAGGAAAACCTTTAATTGGGGCTGGCTTATAGTTCAGAGGTTTAGTCTGTTATCATAATAGCTGGAAACATGGTGGCATGCAGTCAGACATGGGGCTGGAGAAGTAGCTGAGAGTTCTACATCGGAATCAGCAGACAGCAGGAAGAGAGACTGGCTTGAGCTTCTGAGACCTCAGAGCCCGCCTCCTTGTGGTGCACTTCCTCTAACAAGGCCACATCTATTCCAACAAGGCCACGCCTTCTAATACTATGGACCAAGCATTCAAACACATGAGTCTATGGGGGACATTCCTATTTAAACCACCACACTATGAGAACCTGGGTTCAACCCATAGTACTGGAAAAACAAACAGGTAGCCTGGTGGTGGCAGCACATACCTTTAATCCCAACATTCAGGAGGCAGAGGCAGGCGAATCTTTGTTAGTTTTAGGTCAGCCTGGTCTACCGAACAAGTTCCAGGACAGCCAGTGCTACTCAGAGAAACACTCTCTCAAAAAACAAAAACAAAAAGTCATCATTTGTCCATTTTCTGAATTAAGTATAAAATTTGTAGTGTTCTCTGGGGATAGGAGAGACAGCAGGTGACAGAGCAGGATGTGTTCAGGAGATGAGAAGTTGGTTGAATGCTAATGAATTGTAGGAGGCCTGGGGGCGATGGTGGGAACAAAGAGCTGGAGGGACAGGCTCTTACAGAGGCTGACAGATACATTCTGATGGGTTTTCAGTGGGCAGGGGTGTGATCCGATTTGTGCTGTGGTAGTTCTCTGGTTGCAATGAATGGAGTATAGTGTTTTAGTAAATGTCCTCTGGTTTCTGGGCTGGAAGGAGGGAGACAAATGGTTGATCTGGGTGGATGATAATGATTTGGGTTTGGATGTCAGTGGTGAGGAAGAAGAAAAGCAGACAAACTTGAGAGCTGTCATGCTGGATACGGGGAGGCAGGAAGAAACTACATGAAAAGTTGTACCTTGTTCCTTCCCCATCTCTCTGTGATCTAGGACTAGTGGTTTTGGTATCTGTTGTGTGATTTTTCCAGGGAGTCTATTTCTGTTCGTCTCAGTTAAAGAGGACAACAACAGATCAAAGAAAATTTCATCTAAGCCTGGCTTGCTGAACCATTGAATTTATTGGGGTTGTTCATGGTGCATAGGTGACTTGGGCACCTGCATTTGCAAAAATCTTCAGTGGTGGTTCACAGAAAGCATGAGTGATGGTTCACACTCATTGGATTCCTCCCTCCCCCCACCAGTCCTCCACTTCCTATGTACTATTCTACCACCTAAAACCACATGTCACTGGGCCAGGGTTACATGTGCCTGGTGGAGGTCAGGAAGGAGTGAGTGACTGGAGTCTCGGGTGAAGGTCTATAGATCTTCCCTGTCCTTTTCTAACAAGGGAACATTAAAGGTTTAATCTTTTGAATGCCATATGGGTAATCACAGGTGCTCTGATTTGAAGATGGCAACAGTCATGTCATGCCTAGGAGGACAGGGTTCTAGAGTACTCCACCCCCTCTCTTGGACCTTATATCTGTGTATTCTGCAGTGTTCCCTGAACCTCGGAGGAGTTATGTAAATATGTAGTTATTTGCTGAGCAACAGTATAGAACACAGCATGACACTTTCATCAATTTGACAAATTATGAATCTCTCTAGTAACTGCTGTCCACTATAAAAACCTAAGTTTTTTTTCCCACTTAGGTTCTACAGTAGCAGTAACCTATGGATGTAACAAATGTTTAGAAGGTAAATTGACAAACAATTGCAGCTATTTGTCAAAACTATAGCAGTAGCCTTCCTGCTGGCACAGGCTTTTGCCCTGGTTTACAATGCTAACCATCGTTTCCCTCCGTGAAGAAAGTAGTTGTACCTGTCACTGTTGTGCCGCTGTTTCACTAGCAGGCACATTTCGCCCCTCATGTTGATGGCATTAACACACAGAATGCACAGCCATGCAACACTGTCATGTTGATGGCATTAACACACAGTACACAGCCACTCAAGACTGTCATGTTGATGGCATTAACACACAGAATGCACAGCCATGCAACACTGTCATGTTGATGGCATTAACACACAGAGTGCACAGCCATGCAAGACTGTTGGTGACAGTTTTCTCCCAGCAGCCAAGACGGTGTCTTGTGGCACCACAAAATCGGCCAGTGTGGAGTGAGCGTCTAGCTCAGTCCCAGCTTGAGTCCTCCATATTCTACAACCAGAGCACATGGTGTTTCCAGCAATGGGGTCTTACCATTTGTTCTGATGTGTCACCCATGGTAGTATAACCTGTGTAGTGGGACTTTAGGGGTCTCCTTGCCAATAGCATGTAGGAGATACCCCAACACCCAGGATACATTCAAATTCTTTAACTCGTGTTTTTCTGTTCTTTTAGATGCTTTTCCAAATCTTCAGAGAACTTAGAGGTTAACACCGTATCATGGCCTAAGGAAACCTTTTCAAAAAGGGGAATGGGTGGCAGGATCTCCATCCACCACTTGCTGTTCCAAGCACCTGAGAATAGGTCTTAGGATTTAGTGGCTAGGGGGACAATTTTTAAAACTGTTAGTGAGGTTCAAAAGGTTCTATTGCTTTTATTTATTAGTTATTTAGTTATTTGCCTCTATGTGGCCATGACTGTCCTAGAACTTACTCTGTAGATCAGGCTGGTTTTGAACTCAGAGATCCAGCCTGCCTCTGCCTCCTGAGTGCTGCTGGGATTAAAGGCATGTTATACTGTGCCTGACTTTGACCCCATTTGAGTAGTTTCCTCAAAAGAGAAGTGTTGGGTGCATCAGTGTATCCAGAGTCATTCCCTATGTGCCATCTTACTTCCTAATCTTGGAGCACTGCCACGGGTCACCTGCACATCTGCCCACATCCAATGGGCTTGGTAGAACAGGCTTGTGCTGTACTGCCCAGCCTAGGGCTTATGGGAAGCAGGGATGCACTCTTGCTTACCACACCTGTTGCTTGATCAGGGTTCTTGGGTTGGGCAAGCTCCAGGCTAGTACTGAATGCACACACACCTTGTCATCAGCCACAGCTGGCTATTCCAAGTGTCCTGGGTTGGATGAAGAATCTCTACTCCCAGTATATTTTCAAGGATAAAATGTACATAGCACATGGGGGTGGGGGATTGTTAACCCCTGGCAAGATTTTTACTTACATTACTCTCGGTGTCCGTCCACTGATGTTCATTGTCCTCGGTAACCCCGAGGACTGCCAGGAACTAAGGCACTCATGCATCTTTGCACATTGGAAGAGAGCCAGTAAATCCTCAATTCTGTGTGGGGCACTTAGTTGCCCTGCAAAGTGCTTAGGTGTAAGTGGCCACCACATAAGGGAAGTGGCTATGCCAGTTCTCACCCTTCCCCCAGAGCAGTGGGACCTTGGGAATCACCTGTCCCTCTCCCACCCCTTTGGAGACCTGTTGTTTTAGCACTCAGGAACAGTGGTTCTCAACTTTCCCCATGTGTGACCATTTAATAGAATTCTTCGTGTTGTGGTGTCCCCAACCATAAAATTGTTTTTGTTGCTATTATTATGAATTATAAAGTAAATATCTGTGTTTTCTAATGGCTTTAGGGATTGTTAGGCAACCCCTATGAAAGGGTTGTTTGACCTCCAAAGGGGTGGTGTGACCCACAGGTTGAGAACTGCTGTTCTAGAAGCTCACCAGCAATGCATTTGACTTTCTGTCAGCTTTTCTTTAGGAACTCCATGTGAACACAAATTTTGCCTCATTTGCTTTCAAATGACCTAGATAGGCTCTTTTATCTGCTTTTTCTTTTCAATTTCCCCTCTTAATGGCTTTAGCATTTTACAAACTGGATTGACATGTCAGTATAAGTCACTCAGATCTACTAGTACCTCTCCTACTCACCACGGGGACTAGCAAAGCCACAGAAGCCCCAGAAGCCCCATGGCAGTACCAGGACTCCTGCTGCATTAACTTCCTTCTTAACTCCCTGGTAAACACAGAGAAGTTTCACACACTGCCTCTCCCACACCTGGTTCCCTCAGTAGCTTTTCTACCTAGTTTCTTCCCCGGTTTGATTCTTCTCACTTGTTCCAAATTCTTGCATTGCAGAAGAGGTTATTCACAGATCCAATTTGTACTTTCCTTTTGTTTGCCCAGCCATAAGAAACGACAATCCAGCACCTCCTTCTCATGTCTTTTTTTTAATAACTTAATTTTATTTTATGTGGATTGGTATTTTGCCTCCATGTATGCCTGTGTGAGCATGTCAGATCCCCTGGAACTGGAGTTACAGACAGTTGTGAGCTGCCACGTGGGTGCTGGGAATTAACCTGGGTCCTCTGGGAGAGCAACCGGTGCTCTTAACTGCTGAGCCATCTCTCCAGTCTCTCTATCTTACATCTTTATCCGGGTTGCCTACTCTGGTCAAAGATTAACAGGGAGTGCAACACCTGCATGCCTGTTTCCCATTGTAACTCCTCGCTCATGTGGGCTAATGACTCCATCTGGGCAGACAGTTTCAGCTGCAGGTCTTATCAGCTGTAGTCATGGTTTTCTTGTAGCTCTATTCCATCTGTGCATGGAATCCATCAGGGATTATAATATATTATTGAGCCCATCAACCATCTGAGGGTGTCTCCAATACAGTCATCACGGACCATGTCATGCTGTGCCACACAGAGGAAGGCAGTTCCATAGGGATTTCTCCTTCCGACTTTGGATACTGACAGTTCCTCTTGGGGGCAGACAGCTTCTGTCTCATGCCTTACACCAGTATGGGGGTAACACACACTCACCATCCCAGCATGGTGACATGCTAGTCCATACCACGTGGGGGAAGATAACCACATTGAAACTTCCCCCATGGAATGTCTGCCCTCCAAACAGCTAAGCCTTGGTTGCTGTCCTATCTCCTTTAGCAGAGATCATGGAACTGCACTCCCTCAGTACAGAGGACAACAACAGACCAAAGAAACAATCTAGTCATGATGGCTGCGTCGCTAGACTCTTCACCCCGAGTTAACCTTATGCCTCCAACATACTCTCCAGCACCTAAAACCATGTGCAGTTGGGTCAGGGTTATATGTAGCTAATGGGGGCGGGGCTCAGAAAAGGAGTGGCTGGAGTCTCCACTAAGGATCTGATGCCCCCCCTTCCTCCTCCTATGCAGGAATATTAATAGACACTATCTTGTGAGGATCTCATTCAAGTAATCTCAACTGCTCTGATTTCAAGACTGTAGCCACCATGCCATGCCCAGAGGGCAGGATTCCACAACTGCCTCCCCTGTCACTTGTTCCAATGATGAGAGACAGACCACACCACAGGCCCCCCCTCCCCGCCTCATGAGGATTCAAGAGCCTCTGAGAGCAGTGCGGAGCCCTTGTGAGAGGCTCAAGGCCTGGAGGAAATTAGAACCTACCTTCAAAGTTAACATATGGTAAATCACAGCATTTGCTCTGGGTGCCTCTGCTGTGCCTTTGGCCAGTGGGAGCCTGGCTGGTCACAGTGCTGGCAGGAGAGTCATGCCCATGGCTTCTGCAGAGATTCCTGTGGAATGCCTCAGTATGTTGGCTTCACGTTAAGTCTATAGAGTGAATAAGATGGAAGCCAAACGTTCTTTTCCTTCCCTCTCATGTTCTTTCTGAGCTCTTAGAAAAGGAATTTGTGAGTAGAATTAAAACAAATAGTTTTTATCTTTCCAGGCTGGGTATTTGAAAAAGCAGTCTGTGTTCTGTGACAGATGGAGAAGATGAAAGAGTGTCCTGAGAAGAATATGGCTGGAAGAATAGAGTGACAAGAGTTAAATCAAATGGATACACTTTATTTTATTCTCAGATAGGAGCTAGAAATATAGCTTGGTGGAACAGTATTCATAGTATGTGCAAAGCTGGGGTTAGATCCCCAGAATTACCCAAAAGATATGTTTCTCCTTTTTTCCCCCAATGGAAACAGTGTCTCATGTATCATCCCAAGCTGGCCTCAAATTTGCTATGTTCCTGAGGATGACCTTGAACTTGTGATCCTTCTGTCTCTGGAGTGCTGATATTATGAGCAAGCACTACCATACCCAGTTTGGTCATACCTAGGGGTGTGTGCATGCTGGGCAAGCACTTTACCAAGTGAGCCACATCCTAAGCCCTGCCCCACTTTTTCACTGAAATCTGTGTGTCTGTGTCTGTGTCTGTGTCTGTGTCTGTCTGTGTCTGTGTCTGTGATGAAGGGCTTGAAATCAGAGCTCTTTGCTCTAGAGGTGTAAGGATGTCTATTCCTGTCTCATGTGTGTGTGGCCCAAGCAGCCATTAGAATTTGGTAGCCTGCTTTGAAGTGTGTCTGTTGGAGGAAATGGAAAGCTAACCTTGCACACACATCCTTTATCCAGACAGAGGTCCCACATCTGCAGTGGCAAGATGTCTGGATGAGTGAGGAGAGCCTCAGCAACAGCTGGATGGGATGGTGGGAACTGTTCAAAGTCGTTGAAAAAAGACTCAGTCTATTTTTGAGATGAATTGATATGGCTGCTCATTCCTCAGATGGAGGTCTGCCTGTGTGGAGGCAGGGAGACTAGAATGTCATGTTCCTTCACTGAGGCCCTGTTGAGAGCAATCTATCCAGACAGAATGTCACACCTCTCTGAGACCCAAGAAGAAGGACTATGTGCCAAGAGTGAGACGGAGCGTGACTGCAGCTTACTAGGCAAAGCAAGCCGTCTGCCCAAGCAACTAACTGAGCCTTGTCCTTTTCTTGGAGCCTAACATGTTTCCCTCTGTTTCTGTCTTTCCAGAAGCGCGTACTGTGCCGCCTCGGTGGCCTCTCTAACCAACATCATCACTCCAGACCTCTTTGAAGGCACTGCTGAATGGATAGCAAGGTGGGAGAAGTCACATGGTCCCCAGTCCTTTGAGAGCAAACGGTCAAAAAAGTGAAAATTTAAAAGTCTGGAAGGGGCACTTGGGAGGTGAGGCAGGCGGATCTCTGTGAGTTCGAGGCCAGCCTGGTCTACCGAGCCAGTTCCAGGACAGCCAGGACCATCCTACAGAGAAACCCTGTCTCAAAAAACAAAGAAAAAGTCTGGGAGGGAACATAAAATTATAAGAGATGTCTTAGGGGTTATATGTCGTTCCCTTTACAAATACTTGAAACTATCTGGGCGGTGGTGGCTCCTTCCTTTAATCCCAGCACTCAGGAGGAAGAGGCAGACAGATCTCAGTGAGTTTGAGACCAGCTTGGTCTACAGACTGAGTTGCAGGACAGCCAGGGTTACACAAAGAAACCCTGTCTTGAAAAAAAAATGAAAACAAACAAACAAACCCCAAATAGTTGACATTGTTTTCAGACTTTCATTAATGTGTTGTTATAGTGGAGAACAGCACAGGCTAAAAGCTTTGGTGGGTAGCATTGGTGGGAGTCTAAATTGCCTGAAGCAGTTTGGCAGTATCTCAAAACGCCCTGCTTATGAAACCCAGTAACTCTACTCCTACAGAAACTCTCACCCACATGCACGGAAGAGACAAAGACTTGTTTCTAAGAGCAAGAAGCCTTAAACAGGACTGGGTGCGGTGGCCCAGGGTAGCCACACTAGGCCTGTAATCACAACACTCAGGTGGCTGATGGAGGAGTTCAGCATCATCTTCAGCCCCATCTTGAGTTTCAGGCTAACCTGGGCTACAACAGGCCCTCTTAAAAAATAAAAACCAAAAGGTACATATATGTAGGTATACATTTCCTGTTTATTCTTTATTTATATCAAAATCGTACTATTACCATGTAAATACAATGCAGTGACACCAGGTGACACTATGATCATATTTTTTGTATAACTTTCATTTTCCTGGAATTAGTATACATATCATAATTGTGTATACATATCATGACTTCATCTCCACAATCTCCATCAGTTCTACAGTTATTTTTCATACAGTCAAACATTTGAAATAATGTTTTCTTTTGTGTACTTATTTGTGCACATGTGTGCGTGTTTGTGTGTGTGTGTGTGTGTGTCTGTGTGTGTGAGTGTTCTGGGTCATTCTCCCCTGGAGTCCTCACCCTCCTGCTTCAGACCTAGACAGATTGCTCTCAGCTTGCTGTACAGCAGGCATCTAGAAGCTTCCGTACAGTATGAAATTCACTTAATTTTTCTGGTTTGTTGGAGCCCCTGTCCTTTTTAAAAAATGATTATTATTCATTTTAATAAAGCACAATACTCCAAAGTTCTCAGAAAAGGGCACCTGGAAAATGCACTTAGATCCTACATGTATCTTTATTTGCGAACCTGTTTGGTAGTCTATCTGGTTGGAGATGAATGGTTGGCAGTGGGGTAGACTGTATTTGTCTGAATTTTGTAAGCATTGCTCCACCTGGCCTTCTGACTTTCCCTGTCATCATTAATGAATGTGAGTTTCACAGTGACTATCAGTCCCCGAGGACGCAGCGTTTTGTAGACTGATGGTGGTGGTTTAGAGGCCGGTGAGACTAGGCAGTCCCTGGGCTTGCTTCTTTTTAGTGCTTTGTTTCTCAATTGAGATGTCCCATCTTTTTATTCCTTCCCAGTGTGCTTTTCTTCACTTCCCAAGGCAAGCAGGTAATTATATCCAATTTAAAACCCTTGGGGGAGCCAGGTGGTAGTGGCACATGTCTTTAATCCCCAGCACATGGGAGGCAGAGGCAGGCAGGTATCTGTGAGTCCGAAGCTAGCCTGGTCTACAGAGTGATTTCCATGACAGGCAAGGCTACACAGAGAAACTCTGTCTCAAACAACAAAACAAAACAAACACACAAACAAATAAAAACCCTTGGGGGAAGTAGGTGCAGTAGCATAACACTGCTCAGGAGGGTAAAGGTAGGAGTTTGGTACCAACCAATGTGCGTGCGTGCGTGCGTGCGTGCGTGTGTGTGTGTGTGTGTGTGTGTGTGTGTGTGTGTGTGTGTGTGTGTGTGTAGAGATGGCTTAGTTGTTAAGAGCTCATTTCCAGAGGATCCAGGTTCAATTACCAGCACCTTCATGGCTGCTCATAACTGTCTGTAACTTGAGTTCCAGGGTATCCTCTGATGGCCTCCATGGACATGAGGCAGGCATGTGGTGCACAGGGAAGCATGCAGGCAAAACACTCATTCATAAAATATACATGCATGCGTAAAATAACCATTAAGTAAAAATTTAAAAGCCCATATCTAGGTCTTTTTGCATGTAGGTAACTTGAAGTAGATGTGTCATTTTCCTGGGTGTTTGGGTGTTGAAAAGCTTTGGACTGTGTTGTGGACATTGTGGTTGGTGTATTGTAGAGAATGGATTCTGTTAGATTGCTTCAAAGGATGTTTTTGTTTTTAGCAGACAAGCCACTTAGTCAGATTCATACTGTAAACTTCAAACAGTGTTCTGCCCTGCAGTGGGCGGCAGCTCAGGTCTCAGAGCAGTTTGGATTCCAAACTGCTTGCGTTTGCCCGCTGTGTATGTGCTTTCAAGGTAGAAACTTGAGCGGACATTGGGCTTTTCCATTGCTGACTCTGCTGGTTTGTCCTCTTTTTCTAGTAGCCTGTTTCTTCCTGCTAAAGATGGTGGCTTTCTGTTAGTGCTTTAGCTGTTCTGCCCTATCCCAAGACCCAGGCTGCCACTGCTACCACTTGGGTACTATGGCCATCCCCTGGGCAAATCAGAAGGGAAAAAAAAGAAAGAAAGAAAAAGAAAGGTAGGGTGGTGTAGAAGGAGTTCTGTGTAGTTGTCGGCTCTAAGTTTTAATGCTCTACTGAACTCCTGTGACTTTCTTTAGTCAGATGGGAGATGCTTGCACTGTGTAGGAGTGACCAGCCCACTCACTCATTAGCAGACACTCACTGAACGTGAGGATCTGACGGAACCAGCTTTACCATTTATTACTAGCTTTGGGCCTTGGAGATACTTGATTTGTTTGTGTCAATTGTATGTAAATCTGGAATATGCAGGGTTCAGGTGGGTGTGCCTGTGATGGCAGCCATAGTGCCTGCCACCATGCCGGGGCCATCAAGATGCCCCGTCTCCCGGGCAGTTTTGTTTTGCTTTTGTCCTTTTTCTCCATCATCACCCCATGTGCCTGCCTTGAGACTTTGAGAATCTTTATTGGGGCTGTTTAGAAACTTCTTGGTGTGGGTCATTTTCACTGTGTATTAGGCACTCGTTTGGAAGCATACATATTTCAGACCAAGAATTTGCATTGCAGTATTTCTTTGGCAACTTCTCCTTTGTTTTTATTTTTGAAACACGGTCTCACTGTGAACCCAAAGCTGACTTTTAGCACCACTGGTCCTCTTGTCTCAGTCTCCCGAGTGCTATGATTATAGGCATATGCTGACATACTCAGCTTGCTCCTTTTACAGCATCTAAGTAGTGGTATTAACCTCATTTAATTTGTTCTTATACAATTTTATATATGTATATAGTACATCCTCCCTTATCTCCTCCCACCAATTTCCCACCCTCTCTCCAAGTCCAATTCATGTCTTTCTGTTTTGTTTTGTCATTCAGAGAGTTAACCCGGGGCTGTCTGTGTAACCATGGCTTTGGGGCTATCCATTGGAGCTTGGTGGGCCCTTAATGGATATACAACTCAATATAATGACTGCCCCTCCCGTGGGAGTGGTGGAACCCTGTGAGCCCCTCACCTATCCATAAAAACCATTGACAGACCTATGCAGGTCCACTGCAGGCTGTGAGCGTGACTGCAATGTCTGAGTTCTGCCTAACATAGCATTCCACAGCCCTTATGTTCTTTCCAACCCCCTACCCGCAAGATGTTCTCTGAGCTGTAGAGGGAGCTCACCTTATCAGTGATGAGTACGTGTTTGCATTCACCACCGTTAATTGAGGAAGCAGGCTTCTCTGCTTAATGTTGAAAGTGACATTTGGGGCCTCGTGTGGCAGATTGACCTAATGGTTTTTGTTAAGCCCGTTGAGGGTCTGTTTCTATCTCTTAACTTTTCGTGTATTTTCCAAGAGCTTCCCTTACTATTTATCTTCTCATCTTTCTGTTGCGGTTTCATTCCCTAATCTTTTAATTTTCCAGAGTTCAGTGTCTCCCCCCCTCCCATGAGTACTTATTTTTTTATATTCTCAGATGTTCTGCTCTGTCATCCTTGTAACATTCTTCACATGATATTATCTAAGATACAACTTCAAGAGGCTACAGAGGTGGCTCAACAGTTAAGAGCACTGGCTGCTCTTTCAGAGGACCTGGGTTCAAATCCCAGCACCTACATAGCAGCTCACAACCTCCTATAATTACAGTCCAGGGGATCTGATGCCCTTTTCTGGCGTCCATGAACACTGTGCATGGTGTATAAACATACATGCAGGAAAAACACTCATACACTAAAAATAAATAGGTCTTTAAAAAATAAGCCAGCAGTGGTGGTGCACTTGGGAGGCAGAGGCAGGTGGATCTCTGTGAGTTCGAGACCAGCCTGGTCTATAAGAGCTAATTCCATGACAGCCTCCAAAGCCACAGAGAAACCCTGTCTCGAAAAAGTGAGCCAAGGGGCTGGAGAGATGGCTCAGAGGTTAAGAGCACTGGCTTCTCTTCCAGAGGTCCTGAGTTCAATTCTCAGCAACCACATGGTGGTTCACAACCATCTATAATAAGATCTGGTGCCCTCTTCTGGTGTACAAGCATACATGCAGACAGAACACTGTATACATAATGAATAAATAAAATTAAAAAAAAAAAGGGAGCTAAGACCATGCTGTTCTCCAGGGAATTCCCACATATCGGTATCTGTAGGACTTTGTTCTTAAGCTTTCAAATTCTTGTTTAGGATGTGAAGCTTGCAGCAGCCTTATGAATTCCTAGTCAGGAAAGGTGAGGTGTTTGTGTTATGTGGTGGTCCCACAGACCCCTCCTGCTTTCTGCTGTGCTGCTGAAACTGGGTTTCATCACCTTCACTTACTGATGGAACTGTGGATTTTGGACAGGTAGAAATAGAGAGACAGAGAACTGAGTCTGGCATGGGCTTTTGAAACCTTAAAGCCCACCCCCCAGTGACACACTTCCTCCAACAAGGCCACACCTTCTAACCCTTCTCAAATAGTCTACCCCTTGATGACCAAGCTTCAGCTATATGAGCCTGTGGGTGCTGTTCTTATTCAAGCCACCATAGTAATCAAACATGGTTTTGCTCATGGTTTGGCTGCTTCTCCACCACTGCCCCAGAACTGAGGAAGGCCTCTCTGACCAGCTTTTAGGTACCCTTAGCCCCTGTCATCCAGCTTTGTAGACCCGGCTGCCTCTGCCTTCTGAGTGCTGAGATTAAAGGAGCGTGACATCAACACCTTCTCTCTTTCACGTTAACCTGGCCATTTGTACCTTTTACATCCTTTTACTTCCATTTTATTGGGCTCTGGTATTCAGTTCATTATGTTGTCGTGTGTGTGAGTGTGTGTGTGTGTGTGTGTGTGTGTGTGTGTGTGTTGATGACAGGATCTTATGAAGCCCAAACTGGCCTTGCACTTGCTATATAGTTGAGTTTGGCCATGAACTCTGATCTTCTACCTTTAAGTGATGGAGTTACAGGCAATATGCCACCATGATCAATTCCAAAGAGTTTTATTAACTGAAAAAAAAGTAAGGTGCAGAAGAGGTTGTATCGTGTTCCTCTTTGTGTAAAAACCAAGGGAAGGAAGGCAGAACATGTGTCTGTAGTATTGGTGTGTAGCGTGTGTGCATGTATACTGTGTGTATATATATATATGTGTGTGTGTACAGTATGTGTGTATAGTATGTGTGTATGGTATATGTGCATGTAGTGTGTATATAGTGTGTATAGTGTGCATGCGTATGTAGTATATGCGCTGTGTGTGTGTTTGTAAAGGACACAGAGACAGACTAAGGTGTGGAAACTGATGGGTCACTGCAGGAATAGGAACTAGAAGTCTAAGAAGCTGCTTAGCGGTGTTTATTCTTTTTTGCTCTTGGAAGCATAACCTTTTGGGTATTACTTTTTCAATTAAAGATTTCAACAAAGATTAGTTTAATAAAAGACAGAATTTGATCTCCCTTGCAAACTCTTCACTCACCAGAGTTTTCAAACATGAGTGCTTTCCCTAGTCCAAGTAGCCAAACACACTGGCAATGTAAAATGAAGCTGGTGTTTGGGTGGCGATGGAGGAAATCTGTCTATGGAGAGCTTGTAGCTGGTTTCCCTGAGCCTGGGCTCTCTCAAAAGGAAACCTGAGGGCTCCCCAAATGCCAGGCCTCTAGGGGGAAAGACTTAGAGATCCTGTCAGCTCCTGGATAAAGGCCTGTTCACCTGTGCTGTTCTAACAGAGTAAACGGAGAAGGGTGACTTTAGGAAGTAAAGCACGATAGTGTCATACTAAAATATATTTAAATTTTAGGGCTAGGGCTCAGTAGTAGAGTACTTGCCTTCCATGAGTGACGTCTGGGATTTAATCCCTAGCACACAGCCAGGTGTGCCCACATGCATACACACAGCCCTTAAAATTACTTCATAGATAAAACATGCTCGTTATAGGTACACAACAAGAAAGTCTAAATTACATCTACCACCACAGTGTACCCAATTGTCCTAGCTTTGTCTCCTATTGTTGTGATAAAAATATCCTTACAGAAATCAATGGGGGGGGGCGGGGACTGGTTTGTTTTAGCTCAGAAGTCTAGGTTACATCATAGACAGAATAAGCAAAGGCAACAGGAACTTGCTAGTCAAGAGCAGAAAGAAATGAATGCATGTGTGCCCACTAGTGCTCAGCCCACTCTCCCACTCTTCCACTCTCCCACTCTTACAAAGCTCAGGACTCAACCCAGAGTCCAGTGCTGCCCGCATCAGCGAACACAGTCAAGACGCTCTCCCACAGACACGCCCACAGGCCAGCCTTCTAGCCAGTCCTTCATTGACGCTCTTCCCAGGTGACTCCAGATTGTGTCAAGATGACAATTACAACTAGCCAGCATCCAAATTTTGTTGTTGCTTTTTTTCCTTGAGACAAAAATCACACTATGTAGCCATGGCTGACAGATCCACCCATCTCTGTGGGTCTAACGGCATGCGTGGCTTTAGATCTTTTTTTTCTTTTTATGTATTGTCTTTGCAAGTTCTGGAAATTCAATAATATAGCACATTGTTATTTTCTAGCATTTCCTGTAGGAAGTGAAGCATTTTCATAACCAGATCTGTAACACTATTTAAATGACTGGATGTGCCATAATTTATAAAAGAACCCTGCCTCCTCCTCATTTGAACTTCTAAGTTGGTCTGACATTCTGCTCTTAAAAAAGGAATGTAGCAAACATTCTCACAGTGTGCTCCTTGGACACACTATTGCTCACTGTGTAAGGTCAGTTCCTAGGAATGGCCCTGCCTGGCAGATCCATAGATTCCGCATGTGCTGGGGAGATGCAGTGGATAAGGCACTTGCTATGCAAGCATGACGACCAGAGGTCAGATCCCCAGCACCATGTAAACTCTGGGCGGTCACGGCAGCTGCCTGTAATCCCAGCAGTTGGCTGACAGAAACCGGACATTCCCTGGGCAAGCTTGCTAGCCAGACTGGTCGGAATTGGTGAGCTCCAGGCTCAACCAGAAACCACCTCAATAAATAAAGTGGAGATCCATCAAGGAAGATGCCTAGAGTCAACTTCAGGCCTCCACATGAACCTGCACACACATGCATGCTCACCCAGGAATGTGCATGTACACCTGCCATGCACATTCACATATGCACACATGTATGCACACCACACACATACATACTATTGCATGTTTTCTGATTAGAAAGCACTATTAAAAGATATTATAACACCAAATAATAGTAGTCACAATAAATGGGCATTTTCTTTTACTTTTTAGGCTTTTGGTTTTTTTGTTTTGTTTTGTTTTGCTTTTTGAGACAGGGTTTGGAGGCTGTCCTGGAACTAGCTCTTGTAGACCAGGCTGGTCTCAAACTCACATAGCTCAGCCTGTCTCTGCCTCCTGGGTGCTGGAATTAAAGGTGTGCACCAGCAACGCCTGGCTACTTTTTAGGTTTTTTAAACAGTCTATGTAGCTCTTGATAGTCTGGAACTCGCTATGTAGACCAGGCTGGCCCCCAATTCAGAGATCTGCCTGCCTCTGCTTCCCTGGTACTGGGACTAAAGGTGTGTGTTATTACACCATCCTTAGATATTTTAAATATGTAGAAAATTCTACCATTTTAAAAAAAAGTTTAATTTTGGGCTTTTACAAGCTGGGCACAGTCTTATACTTAGAGGCTTTATTGTGTATTTGTTTGTTTGAGACAGGCTCCCCTCTGTAGCCAGGCAATCCTCTCTCCTCAGCCTTCTAAGCCCTGAAATTACAGGCATGAGCTGTCACATCCAGCTAGTTCAGTTACTTGAGAAGCTGAGGTAGGAGGATCACTCGAGCCCACCTGGGCAATGCACTAAAACATAGCTCAAAAATTTTCTTAAGTGTGTGTGTGTTTGTGTGTGTGTGTGTGTGTGTGTGTGTGTGTGTTCATTATAGAAAATTTAAGCCAGGCAGCCTGATAGTGTGGCTTGTATTTCAGCTACTCCAGAGCCTAAAACAAGAACATCCCAAAATCAGTTCCTGCCAGGGCCACAGAGTGAGTGAGTGCAAGGCCAGCCTGGGGCTACTTAGACCTACTTCACAAAGCAAAAAGCGGGCTGAGGTATAGCTCAGTAGTAGAGTGCCTGCTTGTCTGGCATGTGCAATGCCCTGGGTTTGAGCTCCAGTACCACCAAAACAAATAAAACAAAAACAAAAAACCCAGGAATCTGAGACATGGTGTCTCACATCTGTATCCCAGCACTTGGAGGGTGGACTAGCGAAAGACAGGGGCATCAGGAAGCCCAAGGATAGCCTGGGCTAAATGAAGTCCCATCTCAGACAAACAGAAACTGGAAATAAGAGAGGTGGATATGGCTCAGTGGTAGAGCACTTGACTAGCATCTGTGAAGTGCCGGATTTGATCTCCAGAGCTAGAGTTAAAAAGAGGAAATTAGATAAAACTAAAATGCATTCACTGATAGACCTGGTACTCAAAGATAACCAAAGCCAGCAATTATTTTTCAGTTTTACTTTAACTTGATGACTCTGGTACGTATAGGCCTTTGCGACTTTCCCCCAATGAGTGTTAATCTGTGCTACTGCATTTCTTACATAAGTGGACACTTTCTAAATTTCCAAGGCTTCTGGTTCTGTTTTCTAAGGGAAGGAATCTGCAAACATGGATACGTTAGGGGCTGGAGAGGTAGTTCAGCCCACAAAGTGCTTCCTATACAGCATGAGGCCCCGAATCCAACCCCAATAGCCATGTGAAAAGGCAGGCATTGTAGTACATGCTTGTATCCTAGCACCGGGGAGCTGGAGTTAGGGGATCACCAGAATTGATTGGTCAAGACATCCTAGTCAAAAATATGAGCCCCAGGTTCCAGTGAGAGACTCTCAAAAAGCAAGGTAGATTGCTATCCTGAGGAGCGACACCCAAAGCTGACTTCTGGCCTCCACATGCATGATGCATGTGCACACACACATCACACACACATGTATATATGCATAATAAGCCAGCATACTATTATCCTTGAGAGTAACGACTAATGCTTTAATCAGAGCAGACTTATTCTCTGCACCCAGGATTTGGGGAGGACACTTGTCCCCATCCATGCACTTGCCATAGTCTTGCTTTTCCCACTCTCCTAGGTGCCAGAACTGGGAAGGCGGCATTGGCGGGGTGCCAGGAATGGAAGCCCATGGCGGCTACACCTTCTGTGGCCTGGCTGCGCTGGTAATCCTCAAGAAGGAACGCTCTTTGAACCTGAAGAGCTTGTTAGTGAGTAGCTGTTGCACCACCCTCTCCCCAAGCCCTGGTCTGGTGATGGCACTCTGATCTGGGACCATGGGAGGGCGGTGATGGGAAGGGCTGCAGAGCTGCAGCCTTGGCGAAGACTGCGAGTCCCAGGATGAAGCTTCAGGCGCAGTATTAGGTGCTCAGCACCACTGTAAGTCAGTTGAGAGAGCAAAGGACTGTTCTCAGTCGACTCCCCTCTCCTACCTCTCCATCTGGCTGCTTTGAAGTTTCTGCACAGACTGAGTGGTCTTGAGTCCTCCGGCCACCTGGAGTGAGTCCCCAAACCCAAGAAAAATAGCTAGGGTCCCTTAGGATTCAGTATTACCGAGTGTCTTAGAATCTTCTAAGAGAAGAAGCTGTGAGAAGACCTTTGAGGCATTTTAGGGCCAAAAATTTATTACCTGTGAAAACTTCATTACCTGTGAAAATTCCATATCTGCATTTCAGCAAGTTCTCTAAGCAGAGCAGGAGAATTGCTATCAGGAGGTCTGGGCATGTCTTCTAGACCCTCAGCTCTTGACCAGTGTTCAGAAATCAGTCAGCTTAAGGGAAGCCTAGAACACACTTTGTCTTTTAGGGAGGATGTACTCCCCTGACCATCATCAAAGCAAACCAGCTACAACTGACACTTAGCTCTCCGGGAGAGCAGATGCCAGGCCCTCATTGTTGGGCCATTGTGAGCCCTCTAGAGAGTTGCATTTTGTGGTGTGACTAGCAGCATTTTGCCCTCATTGTGTGAGAGAGAAAGCTTCTCACGTGGCATACTCTATGAAGGTTCTGGAAAATTAATATCAAATGACCCACTTTGTAGATACATTTTTAAATCTGATTACTACCAAGAGATGAAATGTAAAGTCTCATGTTGTAGGCAAAAATAAAGAATATAAAAGTGCATGCCTAAGTTATAATGACAATACTGTAGGTTTGAACCCCTCATCTTCTCAGCCAAGAAACCCTGGGCCAATCTGCTTTAGCTGCACTGTCTCTGTTCCTTCTGGAAGGTACGAATAATAATCCATATTCTTTGAGGGTTAAAGAAGAGAACATACATAAACAGCCTGAAGACAGGAGGTGCTCCATAAATGTCAACCCTCTCTTTCCCAGGGACCCCATTCCTTCCCTTTGCTATAAATAACCAGCGCCTGAGTCAGCGGTGTTGGTGGCAGTACATGCCTTTAGTGCCAACACCAGGGAGGCAGAGGCAGACAGAGCTCTGAGTTCCAGGCCATCCTAGTCTACAGAGTGAGTTCCAGGACACTCAGGACTACATAGAGAAACCTCATCTCAAAAAAAAAAAAAAAAAGACAGGGAGGGGACCAACACCTATATCTGAGGGCCTTTGACATCCTATAGGCAAGGGAAGTGGAACCAACCCATGGCTTTAGACACTGGGGCAAAAACAGCCTGGCTTGAATCCACTTACCTTGTGGGGTCTCCCAGTCCCCTCCCCCCCCTTTCCTTTTGAATGCTTAGCCCACTGGCATTAAATGGCAATCCCTGAAGCATAGTTTCATTTAAGACTAACTAGGGAGGTGTTACTGCCTAAACCCACAGGTTTTTGTCCCTTTAAGAATGAGGGGATAACGGGGGGGGGATGGGGGGAGGGCACGGGAGGAGGGGAGGGAAAGGGAGAGGGACCTCGTACTGACTTGTGAAGCAACCTTGTTTCTTATCTAAATTTAAAATGGAAAATAAAAAAATATTAATAAAAAAAAAAAAAAAAAAAAAAAAAGAATCTGACACTGACCTTTGTGCTGCCGTGACCAGGGATGTAACCTAAACTCCATTATAGTTAAGGGCAGTCCAGACTTCCCTCTAGAGAGTCCCTTGGGTCTACGCTCAGGAACTGGATCTAGGGGGGCTCCAGATGCTGGGCATAGCACACTGTTCCCTTTCAGTCTGTGGTGCAGCTCTGGCCTGGGGCTGGGAGGGAAGAGAGCGTTGTATCTGCTCAGCCAGTTGGTTCTGCTCATCCCTCCACGCTATCTTGATGGCATGTGTTCAGGAAAAGTGGTGATAAACCAGGAGTGGTGGTGTCCTGTGTGGCCTCTGGGTGACAAGTGCCAGTGCATAGCTTCAGAATAAGATTTTCCTTACATCACCTAACCAGGTTCCCCAGGCTAGACCAGGGAGTTATCATTGGCCTCTACCTTCAGTCCTGTTCCGGAGTGAACACCCTCAGGTACCAGGTAAAGGCAGGACGAGCTTGATGTCATCTGATGAGATCAGATCAACACTTCCCTTCTCTGCTGTGAACAAACTCCCCTGAGCAGTGATGAGGAGAGACAGGTGGCCCTGCCTGAGTTTCTGCCCCTGGCTGTGTTTTGGAGACTTTTGCAGGCCTTCCATATACGCGTGGCCTCTTCGCTCAGCATCCACCTCCATTTGGGCCTGAGCAAAGGTAGCATGTTGCCAGGGTAATGGGAACAAGAGAGGGTAATGGGGTGTATATGACATGAAGCAGGAGGATGACTATTTGGGGAGGGGAAGAGAACCAGCCTGGGGAGTGGCAGTGAGGGAAACAAAGAGCAAATATGATCTCTTTCTCTCTCTCTCACACTCACACACACACTCACACACACACACACACACACATACACACACACACACACACACACACACACACACCCTGTGTACAAAAATGTCACAGTGAAACCTTTCATTTTTTTGTTGACTAAAAATGGTTGTTTTTCAGTTTTGGGCAGTGATCAGGGCTGTTTGCTTCAAATTGGCCAGTTTAAATGGCAGTGGCCATGGGGGAACCGGTGGGGGGCGGGGAGGCAGCTATCCCACGGGCAGGCCCGTGTTGGCGTATCTGCGGTTCACACCGCCTCTCCTGTTCTCTCTCAGCAATGGGTGACAAGCCGGCAGATGCGATTTGAAGGAGGATTTCAGGGCCGCTGCAACAAGCTGGTGGACGGCTGCTACTCCTTCTGGCAGGCGGGACTCCTGCCCCTGCTGCATCGTGCCCTGCACGCGCAAGGTGAGCCCACACCGCTGCTGGAGCTAGAAGATGGTCTCCCTGCAGTTCCTAACCAAGTGTTGTTTAGAGGAGTTGAAAGAAGTTCCGTCTGCCTAGGGTTTGGGGAACTGGTACGGAGCCTCCTGACCTAGGGGCCGTGTGTGCAGAATAGAATTCACTTCCCGTGGTTTCAGATCACCCACTGCTGCCTCAGCCTGTCTGTGGCAGGGTGAGCTTTCCCTTTGACACTCCCTGCTATCTGAAGGGAGTGTCCCCTCCCTGTCTCGGGCCCCATGATGACTGGGGTGCCATCTCAGCTGGGCGGAACTGTGAACTGTGTTTGGTCATGCCAGAATGAACCGCCCCTCCACACACAGTCAAAACGGTAATAGGAAAGGCAGTTACAAAAGGGGCAAAGAGAACCCATGAGAAAAGACTCATCACATCTAGATGAGTACACGTCACCATTAGAAAGGTTTTATTTTGAGCCAGTGAGACAGCCCAGTGGGTAAAGGCTTCTGCTGGCAAGTCTGAGGACCCAAGTTCAATCCCTGGGATCCACATGGTGGAAACTGAGAACTGATTCCCACAAGCTGTCTGATCTCCACGGGTGATCCCCTCCCCCACAGAGTAAATAAACAGAATGTTGTTTGTTTGTTTGTTTTATGAATGCCACTGTTTTGTTTGGCAGAACTGGGGATTGAAAGTAGGGACCCCCACCACCGAGGTGCAACCCAGCCCTAGAAATGCTTCATTTTAAAGTCAGTAAGCTCACCTATATGAGTGTGCTTCCCTGAGCTAAAGAAATCCATGTTCCTTTCTAAGGAGCCGCCACAAGGCACACAAGACCAGCAAGCGAAGGCTCTAACAGCCCCGTTTTCTCAATGCCTTTGATTCCATGTTCACTCTTGCCTGGCCACACAGGAGGGAGCGGGAGTCATGACCTCCCTGCCGGCTGCCAATCTGTTCCCGCCTGCCTGGAGATCCCTTGGCCCAGAGGGAGATTTTCCTGTGGACTCAGCTGGGTGGCAAGTTGCTCAAATGTAAAAGATGAGGCTCCTTACCTCCCACACCTAAGCTCTTTTCTGACTCTCAGAGCCCTGCGCTTTAATTTCCGTAATCTCCGTGGACCTGTTGAGTTGTATATGCTTTTGATACTGAGTCACTGTCCTCCCTTCCCAGCCTGGGGCCACTGGTTTCAGCCTCAGAATATTAAGACACATCAATGCCAATACTCTGAGACCTGCACAGGCTCCGGCTTGATCACTGGTAGTACTGTCAGGAATTCCTGAGAACAGCGGTTCTCCACCTGTGGGTCACAACCCGCTTTGGGCTCAGAAACAGTCCTCTCACAGGGATTGCATATCAGATACCCTGCACACCACCAGATACTTACAACAGTAGCACAATTACGGTTATGAAGTAACAACAAAAATAATTTTATGGTGGGGGGGATGGTCACCACACCATGAGGAACTGTATTAAAGGGTCACCACATTAGGAAGGTTGAGAACCACTGCCCCAGAGGCTGACTTTTCTGAAAGAAATAACCTGAGGTTTTGGTGATCTCTTTATTTGGAGCTGACTTACAGAAAGCCACAGATGTCACTTCTTTTTCCACAATGATGGCTCTGTTGGTGGCAGCCGAGATTTCCCAAGCATTCACCATGCCAGGGTGTTTCACTTACGTTTTGTTAATTTGACCCCCAAATGACGTGGAGACAGATGAGGACACAAAGTACATGTGATTAAGGCTTGCTTCATAAGCTGTCTGTGACCTGGAGTCATTGGTTGGTGACTGCAGCCCTTCTTGCATCACTGCAGAGGGATACCACCCCCCCCCCTTCAAAAAAGTTATCCGGCTCATGTGTAGCTAAAGAAATGCATGCTAGGCAGGGAGAGATGGCTCACTGGTTAAGAGCATGTGCTGGTCGAACGGAAGACCTGAGCTCAGTCCCCAGCACCCACATTGGGTGGCTCATAACTCAGCTGCAGGGGATCCAACTCCTTCTGGCTTCAGGCAGGCAGATCTGAGTTGGGGGCCAGCCTGCTCTACATAGGGAGTTCCAGACCATCGAGAGCTACATAGACTGTTTCAAAAAGGCAGGGCTCTTTTATAAATTATGGCACATCTTACAACAAACTATTATCCAGTCATTTAAATGGTGTTACAGATCTGGTTATGAAAATGCTTCATTTCTTAGAGGAAATGCTAGAAAATAACAATGTGCTATATTACTGAATTTCCAGAACTCTGGAAGAATATTCATTTAAAAAACAAAAAAATTAGTCTGAGTCCGGGCATGGTGGCACATGCTATCAGTCCCAGCCATTGAGAGACATGAATTTTATCCTGTTAGTAGACAACAAATAGGGTAGTGTGCATGTGTCTGTTTAACTTATAAATGCACTTAAAATTTCAGCCTGGCTAGTGCACTGTCGGGGGTTCACCCGCAGAGATACTAGTAGAGGGGTGTATTGAAGTAGAGTTTGAGTAGCAAGTGAAAAACGTCCTTTGAAAGGTGAAGAGTTTCCCAGCCCGGCCACCGCACACCTTTCATCCCAACACTCAAGAAGCAGATCTCTGTATGTTCAAGTGGAGCTTGACCTACAGCCAGGTCTACATGGTGAGAAACTTTCTCAACAAACAAACCTGAGTGGGTAAATAGACGGTGCTTTTTCTAAACGGTAGCTGCACAGTGGCTCTCTTCAGAAAGCTCCCTGGGATACGGCATGAAGTGTAAAAGGCCAGGCCCAGGGCAGCCATGTGTACACCAGCTGGTGTCCACTGGATTTCCTTAGCAGCATGTCAAAACACTTAGCAATGGGTGATATTGAGAGAAGTGTGGGAGGGGAGTCAGAGGTTACCTTGCAAGTTGTGGATCCTCTACTATGCCCTTTTCTTTTCTTCTTCCAATATATATACATATGTATATGTATGTATGTACTTCTGTTTTAACTGAAGCAAATTTTTTTGTGTCTGTGTGTATGGTATGTGCACATGTGTGGGTCCCTGGAGCTAGAGCTACAGGAAGTTGTCAGTCACCTGATGGTGGGTGCTGGGAACCAAACTCACATCCTTTGCACGAGCAGTTCTTGTTCTTCACCACCGGCCCATCTCTCCCATTCCTTGTTACTTGTATTTTTTGTAAGCAAATGCATTATTATTTTTTTAATGTTTGATACTGGATATTGAGCCCAGATCCTCTACAGTGCTAAGCATATTCACCACTACTGGATTATATCCATAGCCATAAATTTAAAACAAGTTTATGAATTATCTGTGGTGCTAGGGGTTGAACTACTCTGTACTCTGTAGTAGTACCAGTCTACTAAATAGTAAGTAGAGATCACTGAGGTGTGTCACCAGCCTTCTAACACTGCCTTTTAAAAGTATTTTTGTGGGGCTGGAGGGATGGCTCAGTGGTTAGGAGCACTGGCTGCTCTTCCAGAGGACCTGAGTTCATTCAGTTCCCAGAACCCACATGGTGACTCACAACCATCTGAAACTCCAGTTCCAGGGGATGTGATGCCTTCTATCTCTAAGGGCACCAGGCACCAGGCATGTACATGGTAAACATACGTGTAGGCAGAACACTCAGACATATAAAATAAAAATAAATAAATGGAATACTTTGTATTTGTAGCTGAGAATATATTTCAGTGGTAGAGAAATTGTCTAGAGTGTGTGAGCCTTGAGTTGTAGCACCAGTACTGGTGTGGTGGGGGAGACAATGATCTTATTTCTAATTTAAAAAAGACTCACAGGGTAGTGGTGGCACACGCCTTTGATGCCAGCACTTAGGAGGCAGAGGCAGAGGCAGGTTTGAGGCCAGCCTGGTCTGCAGAGTACCAGGTCAGCCAGGGCTACATACAGAAACCCTGTCTCAAGGAAAAAAAAAAAAAAGACAGAAAAGGCTCACATCAAGATATTGCCTGACTCCACTAGTGATTTCAATATCTCCCTGCCAATGTCTGCCTCCTACCTGTTGAAGACAAAACTTGAGAAGAATGCGCCATTGGTAGTAGATTAACAGTATCAAATGGTAGTGCTGGAGGGGTGGCCCAGCATTTAGGAGCCCTTGTCACTGCTGCTCTTCCAGGGGGCTAGAGTTCTGTTCCCAGCACCCATGCGAGGTGGTCAAAACTCCAAAGATACATGCACACTGACGCACAGACACACAGATACACCTCCATCCCCCCGCCACACACACTAAAAAAAAAAAGGCTGGGGAGATTGCTCAGTGGTTAAGAACACTGGCTGTTCTTCCAGAGGACCTGGGTCCAATTCCCAGCATCCACATGGCAGCTCACAACTTCTGTAACTCCAGTCCAGGGGATCTGACACCCTCACACAGACATACATGCAGGCAAGACCACCAATGAAACAAGAAGAAAGCATCTTGGGATGGGGAGTGGTGGCATACGCCTTTAATTCTAGCACTCAGGAGGAAGAGGTAGGCAGATCTCTGAGGGATCTCTGTGTTCAAGGCCAGTCTGGTCTACAGAGTACGTTCCAGATGGCCAGGGCTACACAGAGAAACCCTGTGGTGATATCTTGCTTGTACAAATAAAGCCTGTCTGAAGGTCAGAGAATGGAGCTTGCCATTAGCTAACCATGGAGGTCTGGAGGTCTGGACAGAGAGGCAGGAAGTGAGATGGCTGGGTGGAGAGAGGATATAATCCAGAAGAAACAGGCACTCGCTCTCCTCTGCTGAGATGCTAGAAATAAGGCGTGGCTGTGGCTTGCTCCTTCTCTCTGATCTCTCAGCATGCTCATCTATTTCTGACCCCAGGTTTTTATTATTTAGACCTATTAAGAACTTGCTTTTACAAAACTCTGCCTTGAGAAAACAAACAAAAGAAAGCAGCCTGTGAGTTTTGATGGCCTGCAGGGCACATGTGGCTGAGGACAGCTATTAACATGACTGAGCACAGAAACTCAGTTAAAATATAAAATTTAAATTTTCGGTGATGTTTCTTTTCGTGTAACTCAATTGTGTAGGTCTGGAGTGTGAACTTGCAGCTGACAATGACACAACAGCGTGTGTCCACCTGTTGGACCGAGTGACATGCACCTGCAGCTCTCTGCTGTAATTGGAAAGACTTCATTTTGTAGCTAAAAGAATCCTTTGAAATACAAAATGACATTATGACAGGGATCTCCAAAAGTGACATTATAATGGAGTCTATAACTGCTGCAGAGGTGTAAAGGATTTTAAACCTGATTTCCATGCTGTTGCCATCCTGGGATCACCTCACCCTTTATCTTGCCATGATTATGTGTGCTGCTGTCCAAGTTCCCCAGGAAGTCCTTTGGAGGGTTTGTGAACTCTGAGCTTTTAAATGATAGTGGTGTAGGAAGTGACAGAAACATTGTGATTTTGGCCACAGGTTATCATTTGCCTGGGGATGATAATCTTCCATTTGTTATAGGGTGTGCCATGAGGGCACAGTATGAATAGTTACCCTAAAGTGTAACAAATACTTCTTTAAACATAATAGAGCTCTTTCTCATGCTGTACGCTTGATCCATTTCAAGTCTACAGTTTAGTGTCCATAGAGATCTGTACTGCCTTTATCACAATCAGCTTAGAACATTTTCTACAGTTTCTATCCAAAATACATACCTATCAAATATGATTTTAAAAGCAAGGATATCACAAAGAAAACAACAGTGTGATTAGAACTCAAATATCAGTTGTTTTATTTTAAACTCATGTAAGAAAACAAATGAGCAAAAAGGAGACAAGAGGCAGGTACAGCTGTGATAGAAAATGGGTAAATACAGTGTAAGGGCTGAAAACAAGGATAGACTAGTAAATCAATTAGTAGTGCAGGGCATGTAGATCAGAATAAATGAGCAGATACTGTTTCTCTGTTGTTGTTTGAGACAAGGTAGCCCAGGCTGGCCTAGAACTCATGTCTGTCTTCCAGCATCGACTTCCATACCTGGCTCTTTTCTTTACCTTTAAAAAATTATGTATTTATTTACGCTAGGGATCAAACCAGGGCCTCACACAGGGTTTTTAGTTTTTTTTTTGTTGTTGTTGTTTGTTTGTTTTTGCTTTTTTTTTTTTTTTAGAGGTGCTGAAGTCTAATTTTTTGCTTGTTTTTTGAGACAAGTTTCTCTGGGTAGCTTTGGAGGCTGTCCTGGAACTCGCTCTGGCCTCAAATTTACAGAGATCTTCCTGCCTCTGCCTCCTGGGTACTGGGATTAAAGGCGGCACCACCACTGCTCAGAACATAATTTTTTTGTTGTTGTTCTCCTGTTAGTTATGGTATTGGTATCTTGTGAGAATGCATTGCTAACTCCAACATTGTGGGAATGTATGTTTTCTTCCTAGAGTCTTGATTTTTAGCTCTCATTTAGGTTATTGATAAGGATTTTTGTTTTATTTTGTGAGACAAGGTCTTTCTGTGTGGCACAGGCGTCAGCCTCCCAAGGGCAGGGACACATGTCCCACTTCAGGCTCCATCATCGGTATGTACAAGTTCAGTTGTCCCAGCACGGACTGTGCTTTCCTTCACCGAATGGGCGGAGCATCCTGCCGCCGCGGGCGTGTAGGCTTATCTCTTGATTCACATTTCTGCTGCACGGCACTATGTGTCTATCCCCAGGCACCATGGTTATTATAGCTCTGCTGTAGGTGTTGACATAAGGAAATACAGGTCTCCTGGCTTTCTTCTTTTTCATGGTAACCTTGGCTGTTTTGGATCTTCTGCAACTCAGTATGAATTCAGTTAAAATTTTTTTTTAAGGATTTCAGAGAATATGTAGTTTTTTTCTTTAAAGCCGGTGTCATGTATCTCAACCTGTATAGCCCAGTCTGGCATTGAAGTGCTGGTTTTCCTACCTGCCTTCTGAATGCTGGAATCACAGTATGTGCCACCAGACCCAGCAAGTAGTCACATCTTAACAATCTCCACTTACTTGCTTTTGTTTATGTGTGTATGCACATATGTGTCCTGGTATACATGCACATTTGTGGAGGCCGACAACCAAGTGTCTTCCTCAGTTAAATTAGTGTCTGCCACTAATTTAACTAGACTGGCTGGCTGAGCAGCCTGGGGAGCCTCCTGCCTCCTCCCCTCAGCTCTGGTATTACAAGTGTGTGCTGCCACACCCAGATTTTTTATCTGGGTGCTAGGGATGGAACTCGGACCCCCAAGGTTGTGCAGCAGGCACTTTATTGGCTGATCTGTCTCGCCAGCTTCTTGTAATTAAAGCAGTTATTACATTTAGTCGTGTTTGCATTCACCAGTGTGGGGGTGGGGCACAGGATGTGTGCCAGGACAAATGTGTGTCAGTCAGACCTGGTTCTTTCCATCAGGGTGAGTAGTAAGAGCCCTTGCCAGCTGAACCACTTTACTGACTATTATTACTTTGAAACCTTTTATGTAGCCGAGGATGACCTCGAACCTCTGATCATTCTAAGTGTGTGTTACCATACCTGGCTTAAGAAGTGCTTGGATTAAAGGCATGGACCACCATGCCTAGCCTGATTATTACCTAATGTCGAACAATTCTGCATTCTGGGGATTGTTTTGCTTATATTCTTTTCATCCACTGTATTCACTTTAGCCTTTTGTAATTTTTACCCAGAGGTTTTTATATCCACCCTAGAGATTTATATACCCACATCTATGCGATTTGGTTCCATTCCTTTTCTCACTTACCTTGTACATCCGCTTAAATGAGATGTTTCACTGCTACTTGGAATGATGGTTGTGGAGATGATGTGTCAAAGTAGAAGTCTGTGCTTATATGTTATATGAAAACCATATGGTTACAAAATGATACTTGTAATGTATAGGGAAATGCGTAGAAACAAGGGTGGCGAGCTGTCCTCTCCCTGTTTGGTAACTGTGTGACCCACAGAATTCCCACTGTGCTGGCTGAACTCGGGAATGAAGGAGCCCACAACCTAGGGACATAGCCAAGGGGTGGAGTGCTTGGCTAGCATGCACAAGGTGCAGGATTCATTCCCCAGCATTGAAAGAAACGAAAAGAAAAACAGCGCCCAAGACAAATTTCACATGGCTCTCAGCATGCGGGTTGTTTTTGCTTGTGTGTGTGTGGTGGAGCAGTCAGCAGTGGTGTCTTCAGGGACAGATGTCTGTGTCCTGGGAGACTCTGGGATCTTTTTGGAGATGGATTTAGTCAGGATTAGAAAAGTCAGAACAAGCCATCCGACTGTTACCCACCCCTGTAAGAATTCCTAACCTGCTTAGAGTCCACTAACAAGGACTAGGGGGAATGCCCTCAGCAAACACTAGGCCACTGGTGAGGGTATGGTTTAGGACTGGTACACTTCAAGGCCAATGGCACTGCCACTTAGAACTGCTCTTTGACACACATCCGTGCTCAGGAGGGGACAGGTGATGAAGCTAGCCAGTAAGTGTACCGAGAACGGGTGGAGTGGGACTAACCGCCACGTTTGCCCTGCCCTTCCCCAGGCGACCCGGCCCTCAGCATGAGCCACTGGATGTTCCATCAGCAGGCCCTGCAGGAGTACATCCTGATGTGCTGCCAGTGCCCCGCTGGGGGTCTCCTGGACAAACCTGGCAAGTGAGTGTCTTCCCGGGAAGGGGGGTGAGGGCAGAGGGAATATGCTGCCCAGGCCCTCCAACCTGGGGCCTCCCTGTCCTCCAGCCACTCACCACTAACATTGATCAGGGACAGAGTTAACAGTGTGGACAACCCTCCAGTGACACTGAGCCTCGATTTCTGGTTACTCATCTTGTCCCCAGCTCACAGGCACCTTTCTGCCTCCCCAGAGAGGTAGATGGAGTGCTGGCGTGGCAGCTTTCCTTTTCTGGTTTTTTGTTTTGTTTTGTTTTGAGATGAGGTTTCTCTGTGTGTCTCAGGCTATACTGGAACTCATTTTGTAGATCAGGCTGGCCTTGAACTCAAGATTCCCTGCCTCTGTCTCCTGAGTGCCGGGATTAAAAGTGTGCACCACCATGCCCAATTTCCTTTACTGTATTGTTCTGTTTTTCTTGTTAAGCCCACGAAACTGAAATAGGATATGAATGGAGGTGTAGATCAGTGGTGGAGCATTTGCCTAACATGCATGTCATTCTGGGGTCATCCTGAACAATGTAAAATCGTAAAACAGAGCAGGCTATCAATTCAGTGGGTGCTGTAAACAGATGGGAATCCAACAACTGTTCTGGGGTAGATTAAATGACTAAACGCAAATGTGGGGTATTGTGTATGGTAGAGTAAAAGAAAAAGTTAACCTACAATATGAGATGTCCCAGACACACACTCACAAACACTGCTGTCGCCACTACTGCTGCTCGGGGAAAGGCCGGGCCCAGCAGCTCATCAGGAGTGTGACTGATTTTTAGACATTTTGTGATTTTTCTAGAGAAACATATTAACTTAGTACCACCGCTAGAGAGCCCCTCCAGAGCAGCTGGGAGACCAAATGACAGTTCCCATGGCCGAGGGTATGGCTCAGCAGGGAATGTGTACTGGCCTAGCATGTGGGAAGCCCTGAGTTCCATCTTCATCCCTCCAAGAAACAAACAGAATGGAAAGAAAAAAACTAGAGTCCCATTGTTGAGACCTGTAAGCCCATTGCTGGGAGCACCCATGCTTCCTTCAGCCTGTAGAGAAAAGGGGGCCCAAGCATGGTTGTGTCACAGGCCTCTGGGTTTGGGTGGCAGTTTTTGGAGAGTTTGGTAGGGAAGAGACAGGGTTTCTCAGAGCTGTCTGTTTTGCAGGTCACGTGACTTCTACCACACTTGCTACTGCCTGAGCGGCTTATCCATCGCCCAGCATTTCGGAAGTGGGGCCATGCTGCATGATGTGGTCATGGGTGTGCCTGAGAATGCTCTGGTAAGGCAGGTTGGCTTCTTTTATGGAGTTTGCGAGCCCTGGGAACAGACCATGGAGTCAATGCAATTATAATCAAATGATTTATTGATTAACGGCTAGCAGGGCAAATCTCTGAGCCAAATTTGAGCTGGCCGTGAAGGTGGGTTCGGGGAAGAACTTCTAAAGGGAAAACCATATGAAGGCTTTCCATATCTATGTAAGCAAGTAAAATCCATTCTGTTCTGCCAAGTTAAGTGGTTAAGCCAACTCAAAACAATCTTTGCGTATCTGTGTAAGCAAGTTACAGAAGCAAAAAAAGCAGTTAATTTTATCATAACAAGTCCATAGTCACTTTTAGCCATCCTATTTTTTATTTAAATCCTTTTTAAAAAATTAATGGGAAAAAAATTAATGGGGGAACCCAAAACACTCTGTGGGTATCTGAATAAGTAAGTAAGCTAAGGAGCGAAACAGCTATCATAACAGATAGTCACAGCTATACATTTTTGGGTGGGAGGTCACTGAGTCAGGATTAAAGGAAACTTATCTTCCAGAGCTGGAGTCAGCGACAGATGCAGGTGGGTACCAAAGATGGATGCCTAACATAGAATGGAGCTTCCTAAGTCATAACGATCAACACCCCTTTCCACAAGGTCCTCCAGGTCAGGGGATCTCATTTCGGAGTGGCCACTGTGTCCTGCAGAGCTGGCTGTCTCCTGTGTGGACAAGCTGGAAACTCACAGCCCCCCTCTGCCATCTGCGTCCTGAGTGAAGGTGTGCATGGAGGAAACGCGGGGCCAGACAGAGGCAGGGTTTCAGTGGTCTGAACTGGGGCAGAGGTAGCTATTCCTCTAACGAGGTGGCTTCTCTAGTCTGGCCCTGTGCTGACCAGTTTCCTTCTCGAAGGCAAACACAGTGGTTACTCAGAGCCCGGGGACCTCTAGCATGATCGCTGGTTTCACGTCTCAGCTTAGATGCCTTCTCTGAGAGGACAGACTGCCCACGTTGCTGTGCACACGTTGGTTTGCCATGTATTTGTTTCGCGTGTGTGCTCCCCCTAAGGTGGCCGTCCTAGGCTAGAGATGTTGCTCGTGGCTAGGGTTCATGCTGAGATGAGACTGTGGAGCCTCGAGCTTAGCCCCCAGCACAAGAAAAGAACAGGATGTTGCCCACCATGGCCTGTGCTACAGCAGCCTGGCACAAGGTGACACTCTGCACCTAGACATGAGCCCAAGCAACACACTCAGCTGAGACCGTCCACAGCGGCCAAGTAACAAAGCCACTTGTCAAAGCCACCCATATTCTGAGGTTCTGCCTCCAACAGATCTAAATGTTGAGCCTTACCTTTTCATCTGGCTTTTATATCTGTCCTCCGTTTGCATTGGGAAATGTTGTAAGCAGAAGTACAAATAGATGACAGATGAAAATCTTTTTTTTTTTTTTTTTTTGCCAGGGTCCCACTGTGTCACTCTGTAGCTCTGGCTGGCCTGGAATTCATATTATGGACCAGGCTGGCCTTGAACTTGTATCAGTTTTCTTGCCCCTGCCTCCTGGGGCGATTGCGATTACAGGCTGCATCCACCACGGAGACCAGAGGTTGTCTCAGTGCCACCCCTCGGGAGATGTGCTCCTTGTTCTTTGACCTGAGCAGCTTACTGCACAGGGGTCCTGCCTATTAGGCCAGCCTGGCTGGCCAGCCAATAAGCCCCAACGACCTCCCTGTTCCCGCCTCCCTGATGCTGAGGCAGGGCAGAATTTTCGAGTAGTATTCGAACCTCTCTGGGAGAGTGAAGAGGAGGCTATAGCTGCAGAAGATTTTCAATTTCTTTACACCCCCCTCCCCATCTCGTGGGGGGAGGGGCAGGGCAACATGTGGTTAGAGGAGTTGATTTTCTCCTATTGTGTAGGTTCCAGAGTGATCTCAGGTTATGAGGCTTGGCAGCAAGCACCCTTACCTGCTGAGCCATCTTGCCAGCTCCTCATTTATTTATTTAGACAAGGTCTCATGTAGCCCAGGCTGGCCTCCATCTAAGAGGCGTGCAGTCAAGAATGAGTGAATTTCTGATCTTCCGCCTCCACCTCCCGGGTGCTAGGATTACAGGGTCACTATTGGGCAGACGTGGGGGCTTAGGTGCAAATAGTAACAAAGCATGATGACAGAATACATGAAAGTGTCACCGTGAAAGTGACACGGCAGCGCACACCTGCAATCCCGGCCTGTGGGGTAGAAGCGGGAGGATCAAGGGTTCAAGCCCAGCTTACATAGCAAATTTGAGGCCAGCCTGGGCCAGCCAGCCTGGGCCAGCCAGCCTGTTGAAAACAGACTGAAACAAAGAAAGTGGTGCAGCAAACTCAGTACTTTGTCTGCTAATTAAAGACATTTAGTAATAAAAAAGATACAATGTTTAAGGTTTTGGAGCAGGGGATGTAGCTTAGAGGGGGACACATACCTACCATGGGTGAGGTGCTGGGTTTGCCACACACACAGTTTCAGAGTCAGAGTTTTAGATAAAGATGCTTAACAGGTAAAGTCTATGTGGATATTCCAAAAGCCAACAGACTCCAAAATGTATGTCAGATAAAACATAAGCATTTGCTATCATTAAAATATTCAAAGTATGTATTTAAGTGGTTGTGCACTATGAAATGTTTTCAGCCGATACTGTTTTTTGCACATTTGGGCCTGGGATAAACCTGTGTGTACCACTCAGGCTCCCTTAGTCTAAGTTCTGCCGGGTGAGTTTCCACCACGCAAGAGCCACTGGTGACGAACTGGCATCTCTTCTCTTTGCAGCAGCCCACTCACCCCGTCTACAACATTGGACCAGACAAGGTGATCCAGGCCACCACACACTTTCTGCAAAAGCCAGTCCCAGGCTTTGAGGAATGTGAAGATGAGGTGACCTCAGATCCGGGCACCGACTAGAGGACCCCATGGCACCCCCAGCTCCCCCGGCAGACAAGGTTTCTCCGTTTGGGTACAAAGCACTCTGCTGATGGGAGCCTTGGCCACTGTAGAACCGTGGTTTCTTTGTCCTTTCCTGTCAAACAAAACAAAGCCATCAGCTGTGGGTTTGGTAATATTACAGTGGTGTGATTTTTTAAAATTATTTTCATACCTGTCAAACCAAAACTCTGTGAGCCTGTGCAGTGGGGTTGGAGGAGAGCAGTGCATGCTGGGAAGAAGTGGCCTTAGCCAGCAGCCCCGCCCCACCATGCTGAAATGGAGAGGGTACCATTTCAGGTGACCTGCACAGCACCATTCAGTCACCAGATGGGCATCCTCTGGGGTAGAAATGTCTGCTCCGTGCCGTGCCAGGGTGGGGCTGGGGGTCCCGCCTACGTGAGCTCCCTGGAAAAGACCACTGGGCTACAGCAGCACACTTGTCTCCTTCACCCAGCCACTTGCGAAGGACAGCGGCTGGGAATGGAGAAGGCTCTTAGGTCGCGTCCCTCCCCCCAACCTGGGAGAACTGAGCCACACATCTCCAAGGCCGTGTTTGGTGTAAGCAAGACTTGTTTTGTCCAATTATGATTGGAAAATCAGCCTCTAGGTCAACTCTGTGCCAGAGGAAGCAGCTTCCCCCAGAGCCCAGGCCCTGCCTCTCCACATCATGTACCAGGAGAGGCTGTCCTCCTCCGGGCACTGCTGCAGCCCAGGTTCCTTCTGTCCCTTCCTTCTTCTCCTCACCCCAACCCCCAGACAGTGTTGTCTCTTCTCATCCAGAGTATTAACACTACTAAGGCGTTCATCTTACCTGATGACTCGGGATCTGTCCCTGCCCCCCACTCCAGACTCACTGAAACAGAATCAAGTTAGGTAAGCTGGCTGCTGTGGAGACTGGCCTGGGGGGTAGGGCGAGCACCTGCTGTGTGCCCAGTCTTGGAGCTGCCTCTGCGCCACCCCCTACAGTCGGAAGGGTGCTGAGTCTGGTCATCGTCCACCGCTACAGTTACAGCTCGTGTCACTGTCCCAGCCTTCGTGTGAGCAGGCAGACAGGAGCTTGGAGACGCAGCATGAGGCTCTTCCCAAACCACTGGCCATCTGCTGCCTCTAATTCCCTATTGCTTTGGTGTACTGGGCTATGTATTACCTCCTTGAAATAATAAAAGAGTAACATTTTCTATGCTTTCTTTTCCTGAAGAAAAATACATTTTTTTTGGATGTGTATGTATCTATATGTGTGTGAATGCGTGTCTGTGGAGACTGGAAGAGAGAGTCAAATCCCCCGGAGTTACATGTGGTTTTTAGTGGCTTCAGTGTGGGCGTTGGGAACCAAATTCAGATCCTCTGGATGAACAGCAAGTACTCTAGGCCTCTATGCTATCTCTTCTATCTATACCAAGAAAATTCCTTCCAGATGCCCATTTGCTCTGGGGATTTCCTGTCTCCTGCATGTGAGTGAGGCAGGACGTCATTCCCTTGCACGTCTCTACACACTGAACTGTAACATCTGTGTCTGTCTCCAACCTGCCCATGGAAGGAACTACGCTCTGCCACTGCGTAGGGCTGGTGGGTGGACATCCTGGTCACAGGTGGGGGCTGGCATGGGTATTGCTGGAGTCTTGTGGTTACCAGAAGGGCTTCTCTCACAGGAAACTCCATCCATGCAAATAACCCAGAGTTACATTCTGAATGCAGCTCCCAGCCCCTGGCAATGTTAATCTTGCTAATAAAGTTTTGGGGTTGCAGTCCATCATGCCCAAGTGTGTCTGTCCACCACTGATAGCAAGGAAGGGCTCAGCACCAGGAGCTGAGGTGCTGAAGACTGCAGTCACCATGGGGGTCCAGACACCACTTCAGACTGAGGTGTCTTCATACCCAGGAGCAGGGCCCGGAAGGGTAGGTGGCGTTGGGTGAGGGAGAGAAGGCTGCCTCTTGATCCTGCTGTACCCCAGGTTTGTATTAACATCTCTCTCCGGTTCCTTTCTTGGAGAGCTCTCCAATTCAGCCTTCAGTGGGCCTGGAGAGAAATCTCAGATTTTATTTGATCCATATTTTATCCTGTGGAGCCTGAGTAGAAGACACAGCATTTGACCCCAAGAAATATGTCCCTACCAACAAATACTAAACTCCCACAGATGTGTCCTATGAGTCCCAACAGCTCACCCTGGGGATCCTGCCAGCCCTTCCTGGCAACAGAAGGCAGGATTCTTAGATCAGCGAGGGTGAACTCCCCGAGCCGGCAATCCTGGTGAGTGCTCTCTGAAACTCTTCTCGTTGCAGCCTTGTTTCTGGGTAACATCAGGTGAGGGTCCAGCCATAGCTCCGTGGACATAGCCAAGTTCAAGGTGGGAGCGGAACTGCCAGCCCCCTACTTGTTCCGCCCTTTACCACTGCTCTGTTGTGAGACCCCACTTGGTGGGTCGTCATCCAGAGTCAGGGCTGGACTGGGGCCTCCGCATCACATCGGCTCCTCTACTGAAGATGAATGTCTAACCCCATGATGGACCATGTTCATCCCAGACTCCCAAGAATCCCAAGAAGACAATTTGGGGCCGGCTTCTGCCGTCTCTGTTTGGGACTGAGATGCCTCCTCTTTGTGGAGCCCAGGGGCTGCAGAGTTGACGTCAGCCCCAGCTCCCACCTGGTGGCAGAGCTCCCGGAGCTGCTTTTGGGGAGGAGTGCGGATGTCCAGAGCCAGAGGGCTAGTCTAAGCCACAGAGCCTTCGGTGGTCTTCACTTTAGATCTTGCCTTTGGTCCTAGCTGGGTCTGGGAATGTAGAACCGCAGACCCTATTCTTGTGCATTCCTTTGAAGCACAAGACAGCAGTGTATCTTCCTGTGTCAGTACAACAGCAGCAGAAAGCTCGCCCAGTCCACCATGCTGCGGGGCTATGGACTAAACACCTGGAAAAGGAGCCACACAGGCCAGGGGTCTGCAGGAGGAAGGAAGATGGTGGCTTCCAGAACTGAGTTCACTTAACTGGAGCTTCCTGGGGTCAAGACAAAACAAAGGCTTGGAGTGTTTTACTGTAGAGTTCTAGTGGATGAAGGCAACATGCCAGTTGCTGAGTCTCTTCCTGGTGACAAAGTCCATAACAGGCCTTAGGGACACTGAGGACCACAACACCCTCCTTGCCTAAGCTGCTCGGCAGACAATGTAGTAGTACCTTATAGGAGGCCACTTGCCAGGAAGACAAAAGATGGTTAAAATTCAGTGCCAAGGCTGGGCAGGGGTGGCGCACACCTTTAATCCCAACATTCGAGAGGCAGAGACAGGCAGATCTCTGTGAGTTCGAGGCCAGCCTGGTCTACAGAGCGAGTTCCAGGACAGGCTCCAAAGCTACAGAGAAAAGCTGTCTCAAAACAAAACAACCAGGGAAGGCCCTCTGCCAAGATCTGGCCTCACTCAGATCTAACTGTGTTGTTTCCTGGTGTTTTATCTGATCAGAGATAAAATTTAAACAACACGGAGGGGGGAATGCTTGATGGTTTGTGAGGTAAAGCATACCACCAAGCCCAACTACCTGAGTTCGATCCCTGGGATTGAACGTGGCAAAAGGAAAGTAGTGTCTTCTATAATTTGCCCTTTGACTTCAACATGTACACTGTGACGTGCGTGTGTATATGTATGTATACACACACACCTGCATGCACATTTGCACACACAAATAAATTAATAATAATTTAAAAAAGAAAACTTTGGGACTGAAGAGATGGCTTAGTGGTTAAGAGGATTTGTTGCTTTTCCTGAGGACCTGGGTTCAGTTCTCAGCACCCACATGGTGGCTCATGACTGCGATGTTAATACCAATTCCAACACTGTCTTCTGGTTTCTATGCACACTAGGCATACATGTGGTGCACACATACGTGAAAGAAAACCATCTTTTAAAAAGGAAACCTTGAGTGCTGGTTGGCTGCATGCCATCACACTGTTTCACTAATATTAACTTTCTATACTGTACTTTTGGTAGGAGCTTAGTAGCCAGGGATTAGAGATGGAGGTGTTTGGGGCCAGAACAACAGCTTAGCGATAGAATGCTTGCCTAGAACGCTAGTACCCAGAGTCACAGACTAAAAAGAAAGGCAGCAGCAAGCGGCAGGTGTTCGATGGTCCGGAGTGCAGTTTGGCAGGATCCACGGGCTTGAAGTGTAGGGTGTCCGGTCAACAATGCTGACATTCCATCGTGCGGATTAAAAGGCTGTTTCGTTCGAACCACCTCTTATGGAAGTGTTCTGGGAAATGTCAGGAGCTCACCATAGCTTTCAGTTTGTGAGTCCAGAGGAACAGATCGAAGCCCCAAGTGGGAAGTGGATGTGTTTATACCTGTGTGCTGTCTAGATTCTCATCATGGCCTAAAAAGACACACGTCCTACATGAAGCACATCTCAATGAAGGCACAGACCCAGCACTTCTCAATGACCTCCTCCTGGGGTGGGTTTGACTCAGAACATTTGTTTCCTGAAGCTGATTTGAGGGCTAGGACAGTGTTACTTTCATCTGGGGAAAGAGGGGGTGCTTCGGGGAAACTGCAATATCTTCAAAATGTGTTCTCTTGCAACTATTCAACTCTCCTCCACCACAAAACCACAGGAGCGTGGCTGTGTCCCAAGCCAAGCTATGTTTATGAAGACAGGTGGTGGCCCAGATTTGGCACAGGGGCTGCTTTTTGCCCTGGTGTGATGCCAACTCATTTGTATTCATTTAGTGTTCTGCCATATCTTCATTGCTAGGATGCTTACTATGTACTGTGAGAATCGAACAAATTGCATTTGGTTGGTAAAACTCAGGCTAAGCGCTGCGGTCACTCATGCACACTGGTGTTCGCTGCCTTGGACAAGGGTGGAGAACACACAGCTGAAGATGATGGTGAAACTGACAGCTCCGTGTGGTGGTATACCTGTAATTGCAGAATTCAGGAGCATAGGCTGAAGGAGCCCACGTTCAAGGCTAGCCTGGACTACATAGAGACCTGACCACATGAGTTCAATCCCTGAACCTCACTTTGCAAAAGGAAAGAACTGATTCCTTTGATCTCAACATGTGCACTGTGGTATGCATGGGCACATACGTGTTTGTGTACAAATATAAATAATAATCTAAAAAAGAGACTGTTGGAGCTGAAGAGAAGGCTCCGTGTCTTATACCCTCTTGGTGTCAAGGTCGGCAGATGAGTACCTAGTGCTAGCCCAGCCTTTCCTCCCAGTGGGGACAATGTGTTTCACTAGCTTTGGGCCTATATCTTGGTCACATGCTTTTCTCTCCAGTGGACAATGAGACTCCATCAGAAGCACACATCTTAAGAATGCCAATGAAAGCCAGGTGGTGGCGGTGTACACCTTTAATCCCAGCACTCAGGAGGCAGAGGCAGGTGGATCTCTGTGAGTTCGAGGCCAGTCTGGTCTACAGAGCCAGTTCCATAATAGGCTCCAAAGCTATACAGAAATTCTGTCTCAAAAAACCAACTACCCTCTCCCCAAAACGAATGGGAATCCAGCCTGGAATTCCAGCACTGGAGAGGTAGAAGTAGTAGGATCAGAAATCCATGGCTAGCTGGTGTGGTCACATGCATTTAATCCTAGCATTTGGGACACAGAGGCAGGCAGATCTTTGTGAGTTCTAGGCCAGCCAGGGATACATAATACATACTGAGATCCTATCTCAAAACAATAACAGAGAGAGAGAGAGAGAGAGAGAGAGAGAGAGAGAGAGAGAGAGAGAGAGAGAGAGAGAGAGAGAGAGAGAAAAAGTCATGATTATCCTCAGTTACACAGTGAGTTAAGAGATTACACTGGGCTCCCTGAGACTTGTCTCAAAAATAAGAAAAACAAACAACCAACAACATTAACAAACCCTTAAAAACTATTGGAAGCCCTGTTTCAAACAAACACAGCTATCTGGGAAGGAATGAAGCTCTGTGTAAGTAACTTTTCTGATGCAGTGATAAACATAACCAAAGGTAAACGTCTAGAGGGATAGCAGTCCATCATGGCAGTAAGTGGCAGGCATGACGGCACGGACACAAAGCAGAGAGAGAACGGAAGTAGGCAAGAGAATGGACTCTTGGAATTGGCCCCCAGTGTTACACTTGCTCCAGCAAGGCCACCCAAGCAGCACCACGAACACAGGACCAAGTCTTCAAATACCCAAGCCTGTGGGGGACTTTCTCATTCAAA